TATTTATCTATACACATTTGCATATTTTCCAACTAATGAGTGGGCAGAAACTGAGGTAAGGACAGGAACTCATCCCATCTCAAGCTGATTGGGTCTCGAACCTAGACTGTCAGCTTTCCATCTAACTAGCTCAGCATCCTTAACCATCGAGCCATCGTGCCTCACCCCCACCCTTAATTCAAGTAAAAGCCTTATTATCAGTAGACTAGCCTGGGTAACAGGACAGGAAGAATCTGTAGGGAGAAATAATCAAAAACTCATTTACCAGAGGAGCGAAATCTCTGGCCGTCCAAGACAACAAGAGCTCTGGAACACTGCTGACATCCACTCCGCCTGGTCCCTTCAAGTCATCCGCCGGGGTGTAGTTGAAGTTTCCACACGCTCCGCACACCTTCCCTGACAAAGCTGGGCTGACAGACACAGATATTCTATGATTTGGGCCAAATGTTACTTGAACCTGAGGTGTCTGAAGGACAATCACATCGCCGGTCAAGTCAAACTTCACTACATTTGTGATCTCAAGTGGGATTCTCACCGGCAGCCCGTTCACCTGGAACGCACAAAGAGAGACCCAACAAAGTTAGATGGGGATGCAAGGAAAATAGCCAGTTATGTTGTCGCCGGGGTGGGTGGGAGGTTATTATATTATTTTATTAATTTATGATATGGTTCTCTCTTTTATTCATTTTATTGTTTTTCTTTTATTTGAGGTTTTTATATGAGCCTCGGTGATGCAGTGGTTAGAGTGCAGTACTGCAGGCTACTTCTGCTGATTGCTGGATGACCGCCAGTTCAAATCTCACCAGGCTCAAGGTTGACTCACTCTTCCATCTTTCTGATGTGGACCCAAATTGTTGGGGACAATAGGCTGACTCTGTAAATTGCTTAGAGAGGGCTAAGTTAAGAATAGAAAGTGTACCAGCTTGAGGTGATTTTATCTGCAGAGCAGGAACAGATTATTTTGTTCCTTGTGGATGGTTTGGGGATTATAATTGCTATAATTCTCTATCAACTGCAGTACGTAAAGCTAACTAAATGTCTCCTTAAACCCAGGTACCGGTAGAGGAAACAGTGAAAAACAAAAGCTAGCTCTGAGATCCAATTATTCAGAGCCTTAGATCCAAGTTTGTCAATCTTTGGAAATTAAGTCGCCCAGACTCACTGAGTTGAGTTGGCAGCTATAGAAATTGAATGAATAAATAAAATTAAGTGGGCACTTTGGGGATTTTCAGCACATGCTACACCATTCTCACAAAATGGGGGCTCTGGGGAAAAGCCTTGCCTAGCTGGAAATGGCTGCAATAATGTTAGGCAGACCCAGACCCAAGGGAGACAAGAGGGCCAATTTGCGCCCCCCCCCCCCCCCCCCCGACACACACACACACTAACCATTGTCTAGTCACCCAGTAGTCTTCCTCCACTACTCATTATATTCTGTCCAGGCAAAAGGGAGAACAAGGCGCTTAGCTGCACCTCTTATCGCAGCCTATTCACCAGGAGCTGTGGTCACGCAGTGGTTACAATGCAGTATTGCAGGCTAATTCTGCTGATTGCCAGCAGCTTGATCCTAATCAGCTCAAGGTTGACTCAGCCTTCCATCCTGAGTCGCACAGTAGAGAACAACTCAATTAGGTTCCCATTGAAGACAAACCTGTGACAATGTCTTAGATTACACCAAGGGGTCTTCAAACTTGGCAGCTTTGACTTGTGGACTTCAACTCCCAGAATTCCTCCTCCAATCATGTTAGATCAGGAATTCTGGGAGTTGAAGTCCACAAGTCTTAAAGCTGCCAAGTTTGAAGACCCTTGGATTACACAATGAGCCTTGCAGGAGTTCCCATGAAGGGCTGAAAGAAAGAAGTACAAGTAATCTTCTACTTACGACAATGGCACTGATAAAAGTCACTTATGACTCTTTTTCATACTTACGACCATTGTAACATCCCCATGGTCACATGATCAATATTCAGACACTTAGCAACTGACTCATATTTATGACGGTTTCAGTGTCCTAGGGCCATGCGATCACATTTTGCATCCTTCTGCCAACCAGAGTCAACAGGCAAGCCAGCTTCACTTAACAACTGCATTACTAACTTAACAACTGCAGGGATTCACTTAACGGTGACAAGAAAAGTCATACAAGGAGCAAAACTCACTCGTCTTGCTCAGCAGCATGAATTTGGGGCTCAGTTCGGTGGTTGGTATGCTACCGGTTCCGAGGATCAGCTGCGAGGAGAAAGAAAAGTACAGGATCGGACCTTCCACCCACTTTTCTCTTCTTTACCCTCTCAGCTGATTGGAGCTACAGGCCTCAGTTGGTGTGTAGAAAGCTGCACGTGCGTATTAGGTGCACGCCCGATCACTGAACCGGTAGTAGAACAGGTAGGATCCCATTGCTGGTTCAGTTGTGGTTCTAAGATGTGGATGACCTGCAATCGGTGATTTTTAATAGATCACAAAGAGAGCTCTTTCCTTGGTTTGGTTTCTACTCACCCAAACTTCCTTCTGGTCATTCACTGTAATCATTGAATTTTTTAAGAAGAGGTACAAGGTGACAGTGGTCGTTTGGAGAGGCTGACACAAGGTGACCCTAGCTATCAGGCGGAACCAATCGTCGGAGAGGGTGTCGCAAAGGGAGACCAGCTGGTAGGCTCCAGGAGCAACTGCATCTCCAGAAAGGCCATCGAAGGAAGAGAAGTGTTGGCCTGGTATCATTATGCAGCGGCCTTCAGTGGGGAAGCAACCACGTAGCCCATCTCTCACGCCACAAACTTCACCAGTTCCACAGCCATAGAGGAGGCAGAACACTTCGCCTGGGCTTTTGCACGTACATTTCCTCTTACAGTCTGGAGAGATGTAGCTTTCCCCTTGCTGGAGAAATAGAAGAAGACATCCCGTGAAAACAATATCCCACAATTACAAACTGAAGCTTCATCTTCTCCAGCTTGGAGAATATTAAGGGGATTTCTATCACGTGGTTTGCGCTGTTCTTGTTTTATTATCTTTTATTTAAAAACAAACCAACCAACCAAAAGAAGGATCAGTTTTGTTTTCCAAAATTCAAGAAAGAACAACGCCACGAGAATAATAAGATTATGAACAGCAATAAATGGAGGGAGGGAAGTCCAAGATGTTACCAAATCACATGGTTGACATCAACAGGAAAACAATTGCAAACATCAAGCATGTTCTGCAACATGTAATTTAATAAAAGTGAGGGAAAGTTAGAGGCATTCGGGGGTAGCGCTATTATTTTGCACATTACTCAAAATTATGGGTTCAGCCAATTTGGAAAGAGGCTGAAAGAAGAAAGAAAAGATGAAGATATAACGGCAATGCAGAAAAATCATCCGTGTTGGATATGCAGATGGCTGCAAAGACTCCAATGTTTGGGGTTGAATATTCCCTATCCAGGGAACAGGAATTTTCCATTAAATGTTAAGCAAACTATACGTGTGTGTGTGTGTGTGTGTGTTTGTATGTGTGTGTGTGTGCACGCGTGCACGCCTCTATTCACACATTTGTAGCTTTTATTCTGCACACAAAGGATAAAAATGCGTTGAGGATTGAAAGGCAGCTCTTGAAATCAGAGCAAAAGACTGAATTCCATTTATGGAGTCCATCTACTTTGGCTGTTGTACAGCATGAGCACCGCCATCATTCATAAGAGTCGTTTGTGGCTCAGCTCTTTTATTGCTCTGCTATGAAACTGTTCCAAGGGCAATATAACCAGCAGAGTGTGGTATCCTTCCCTAAAATAGCAAATTCAGGTGGTGAGTTACGAGAGGAATCAAACCAAAACTGTGGTTGTTACATGCATGGAGAAATACAGAGTTGAAAATGCCTAGAGTGGAATAAACCCCCTCGGCTCTACTTCCAACCCCACCCCCACCCCCCACCCCATCAAAACAAATAAATAAATAAATCTGAATTAGCTCAAGCATGCTTAAGAGGAGTGAAGAAGGTTGGTGGCTCATCAATCAGTAAGCCAAGATAGACAGAGGGCTCATTAAATACAGTTTCCTGCCTTAACACCAGCACCGAAATCTTTTAAATTGCTCTGTGTTTTAACTCAGGGAATGCCTTTTAAAAAGTCAAGTTGGGTCTTATATATTTTAAAAAATAGGTAGACCTTTGATCATACCATGCTGGTTGGGTGGGTTTTGTTTTTGTTTTAAAAAAACTATACCTTCCAGACACCCCTGGCCAGGAGAGGATATGGGCAAAAGTGTTCAGATAAGGCCACCACAGTGTGATCCAATGCATTTACATTTCCAATATCTAAGGGCTGCCACAAAGAAGAGGGAGTCAAGCTATTCTCCAAAGCACCTGAAGGTAGGACAAGAAACAACAGGTGGAAACTAATCAAGGAGAGAAGCAACTTAGAACTAAGGAGGAATTTTCTGACAGTTAGAACAATTTATTAGTGGAACAAGTTGCCCCCAGAAGTTGTGGATGCTCCGACACTGGAAGTTTTTAAGAGGAGATTGGACAACCATTTGTCTGAAATGGTATATACAGTTTCCTGCTTAAGCAGGGGGCTGGACTAGAAGACCTTTAAGGTCCCTTTCAACTATGTTATTCTGTTATCTATTGCACATTTTAAAAAACACAGAGAAAGCTTCCACCAACCCATCATAGTTGACGCCTTAATTTTTTCCCATTATATCCATTTAAGGAAAATAGTTGATTTCTGGAAAAGAGAGTAATTCAAATAAAAAAATTTTTTAAAAACCTTCTCACCAGAGTGAGCCTCCCTTCAAACCAGCATCCACACTGTTCTGGAATCACACAGGCTACTCCGTTTGCCCATGTTCCCGCGTTGCACACGCAGCCTTCGACGCACGGATCCACACACACAAGATCTCTTGCACAGGTGCCCTTGCAGTTCCGAACACAAGGCTCGTAATGGCTTCCAGGCAGGCAATTCAGGGGAGCTGTGGAGCAGAGATCAATTATATGAGTAAGCGATTAATTCCACTTCTGTGAGGAAGCTACTAGAAGAGGTTTGAAGCCTCCTTTTCTACGGAGAGTACATGGGTCAGATCAGAAACCAAAAATGGGGAGGAATGAGTTTTTCCAGCTAACTCCTCCTAATTTGTGGCGACATAAAATCATCATCATCATCCCACTGTTTAGATTTCTCGGTTCTTATCTTCTTCACGAATCCCAGTTAGGAGGTATCTCTTAGACTATCACTTAGCCTGTGCATTTTGGACAGCTCCATCATTAAGGCCTGCTTAGTGCAAATCAACATTTCCCAACCTTGACAACTTGAAGATGCGTGGACTTCAATTACCATGATTTCCCAGGCAGCATGGCTGGCTGGAGAATCCTGGGAGTTGAAGTCCACGCATCCTCAAGTTGCCACGGTTGAGAAACACTGATCTAAATGTTGACACCATTCATGCAGAAAAAGCTGTTTGATCATTTCCTTCCAACCCCACCTCTGTCCCCTACTCCCATATCAATCAACTCAGAGTCTGTAGAGATCCAGGTCCTGGTTGTCCCAAAGGGGCTTTTTTCAGGAGGCAACTGGACTTTTTGGGTTTTTCTTTCGAAAACATTTCGCTTCTCATCCAAGAAGCTTCTTCAGCTCTGATTGGATGGTGGGGAAATGGAAGGATTTACATTCCTTGCAGACAGCTGGCCGTTTGCATTCTTTTAGAGAGGCCACCTGGAGGTTTATCTGTGTCCTCAGAGTCACCTGAGTAGTGCTTCCTGGTTCCTGTAGTCTGCAATTTATAGTGGGGAATGAAAGGATTTATATTCCTTGCAGACAGACCCTGAGGACACAGATAAACAGGGGTGGGATTCAAATTTTTAACAACGGTTCTGTGGGCATGGCTTAGGTGGTGGGTGTGGCTTGGGGGTCATGTGACTGGATGGGTGTGGCCAACCCTATATCACTCACATTGAGACACGCATCTCCTCGCCTGGCCTCTCATGACTGTGGGGATGCTGCAACAGTCGTAAGTGTGAAAAATGGTCATAAGTCACTTGTTTCAGTGCCATTGTAACTTTGAATGGTCACTCCACACAAGCAAAGTACCAGCAAAGGAGGAGAAAAAAACTCCAGTGAGACAGGAAGTCTAGTCCTGCCAAGAATGTAATAAGGGTCAATGGAGAAGCAGTTTCTGTAAGCAACACCAGAATGTTTCCTTCCTGCCTTCCTTACAGGATTAGGCCAGTAATTTCTTCTAACAACCAGTTCTCCCAACTGCTTAGAATGTTAATAACTGGTTCTAGAGAATAGGTGCAAACTGGAAGAATCCCACCCCTGCTGATAAACCTCCACCTGCTTCAACAACCCTCTAAAAGGATGCAAATGACCAGCTGCCTTCAAGGAATATAAATCCTTCCATTCCCCACTATCCTGTCAGAGCTGAAGAACCTTCTTGGATGAGGAGCAGAACATCTTCAAAAGAAAAAGAAAAACAAGGAAGTCCAGTTGCCTCCTGAAAAAGCACCTTTGGGACATTCAACTTAGAAATCTGCATTTAGGTGGAGTTCACAATGCCGTAGCTAACTTTAGTTTTTTGAATAAGTCATACAAGCATGCATAAACCATGACTTACATGCTACCCAGGCTGAATTCACCACTAGCCCTGGTAGAAGGGTTCCCATGGCAAGTAAAACCAGTCTGAACATGATCCAAAAAAGAAAGCATCCTTTGTTATGGATATGCAGTCCTAAAGCAGCAACTTGGATGGTGAATTATATTTTCCAAGAACTTTAAAGAGCAGGCATCCATGTACCTGAGTCTCGGAGCTTAGGGCTGTGGCGTGCAAAGTTGTCTCTTTATGCTTGGATGAATAGGATCATTAAATCCCCCAAGGAAATTAGCCTGAGAAAAAGGCTTCTCTTTGGTATGAACGGAAGCTGCCCTTTGGAAGCTATTAGCAAAACGCTTCTGGAGAGCCATATTTCCAACATTGCAAGTTCTGCTTTTTTTTTTTAAACACTTTTCCCATAATCTCACAGCTAGTTATAGAGAGCCAGTTTGGTGCAGTAGTTAATACATAAGGCTACAAACCAGGAGACCATGAGTTTTCAGTCCTGCCTTAGCCACAAACCCAGCTGGGTGATCTTGGCCCAGTCCAGAGGTGGTATTCAGCAGGTTCTGACCAGTTCTGGAGAATCGGTAGCGGAAATTTTGAGTAGTTCGGAGAACTGGCAAATCCCGCCTCTGACTGGCCCCACCCCCATCTATTCTCTGCCTCCCGAGTCCCAGCTGATTGGCTGGGTCTTCTTAGGTTGCCCTGCACAGGAGAACAGAGCTGGAAAGCAGGTTTGTGGGGTGGGGTGGGAATGGAGATTTTGCAGTATTCTTCCCCTGCCACACCCACCAAGCTACGCCCACCAGATCACACCCACAGAATCAGTAGTAAAAAAATTTGAATCCCACCACTGATACACCGGAACAAGAATGGACAAGTGATGAAACACACATCCTGGTGTAAACAGAGGTGGTGTTCATCAGGTTCTGACCAGTTCTGGAGAATCGGTAGTGGAAATTTTGAGTAGTTTGGAGAACTGGCAAATCCCACCTCTGACTGGCCCCACCCCCATCTATTCTCTGCCTCCTGAGTCCCAGCTGATCGGGTGGGTCTTCTTAGGTTGCCCTGCTCAGGAGAACGGAGCTGGAAAGCAGGTTAGTGGGGTGGAAGGGAACAGAGATTTTGCAGTAACCTTCCCCTGGAGTGGGAAGGGGATGGGATTTTGCAATAACTTTCCCCGGGAGTGGGGTGGGAATGGAGATTTCACAGTATTCTTCCCCTGCCACACCCACCAAGCCACACCCACCAAGCCACGCCCACAGAACCAGTGGTAAAAATATTTGAATCCCATCACTAGGCCAGTCTCTCTCTCTCTCTCTCTCTCTCTCTCTCTCTCTCTCTCTCTCTTTCTCTCTCTCAACCCTAGGAAATAGGCAATGGCAAACCACTTCTGAAACACCCTGCCAAGAAAATGGCTGTTTGGCAGTATCCCGAAGCCGGCCTTGATTTGAAGGCACACAAACAAACCCGTGCATGTTGGTTTGCTTCTTCTTGTATTCTATGGCCATTTTTCAGCACCATGATTCACAGATTGCCCTCAAATCCCCCTTTTTTTTATTATCCCCACCCGACTCTCTCAATCCACATGGTCAAATTTCAGAGATAAACTACCAGGAAATTGACTTTAAAAAGTCCTCTCTTTATAGCAAAAGAAAAATAACAGTATTAGCCAGCTATACAAAGCTTCTCTAATCCCTATAACCCCTGGAACCATAAGTCTCATCTATCCAATGAAATGACCATGTTCTAAAGAGGGAACCAGCTCTCTACCACCATCTAGAAAGAGTGTAGAGAAGAGCAACTAGGATGATTAGGGGACTGGAGACTAAAACATATAAACAACAGTTACAGGAACTGGGCATGGCTAGTCTAGTGAAGAGAAGGACCAGGGGAGAGAGGATAGCAGTCTTCCAATATTTGAGGGGCCGCCACAGAGAGGAGGGGGTCAAGCTATTTTCTAAAGCACCTGAAGGCCAGACAAGGAATAATGGATGGAAACTCAACAAGGAGAGATTAAACCTAGAAATAAGGAGAAGCTTTCTGACAGTGAGACCAATCAACCAATGGAACAGAAGTTGCCTTCAGAAATTGTGGGAGCTTCATCCCTGGAGGCTTTCAAGAAGAGACTGGACTGCCATCTGTCAGAAATGGTGTAGGGTCTCCTGCTTGGGGTGGGGGGTGGGGTTGGACTAGATGACCTGCAAGTTCCCTTCCAACTCTGTAACTCTGCAAATTTACAGCTCTCCAAGGCTATATTCAACTGGTTACTGAATGGACTCATTTACAGGATTTATGCCAAATAATATCATAAATAAATCAATGGGCAGGGTTCATACAGCATTCTAAGCCTTGAAAATAAATCTGACTAAGTTGGAAAGTATCCGGATTATCATGCTGGGCAAAGTTGCCTCTTGGGTCTTTAGCAGGTCGGACTAAACATTAGGGGTAAACACTGCACGAAGACCCTCCATCTTGACTTACCACAAGGGGTGAATGGTCTCCATGCATCAATGGTGGCACCAGCCAGTTGACAAGCCGTAGCATAGGCCTGAAGGCTTTGGCAGAGCGATTCTGTCGCTCCATAACTGGAACACAGCCTGGCCACGCAGTACTTGAAGTAGTGATCTGGGTTAACGATGGCGTGACATCTACTGAATGGACCTGGGACAGCTGGGATCAACCCACAAAACTCTTTGCTTTGGAATTTTGCTTCCATAGTGTTGTCACACTCAGAGCATTTCTCCTTGCAGGTTTCCAAGCATCTGCCACCTGCAATTTTCCAAAAGTTTCCAAATTCGGTCAAATCTTGGGCTGGCTTCCCTCCAGGCAAGAAGAATTCGTCATTCTCGTCCTTGTTGAAGTTGCCACAAAGCCCCTTCAAGAGGCCCTGGTAGGAACCAGATACAGATACTGCCACCCAATCGCTGTGGTCATAAAAAACCCGCAGGCCAAAATTGTTACGAAGTAGCACAACTTTCCCCTCTTGTCTCACCGAGACGTCTCCAAAGTCAGCTGGCAAGGGAAGACGTTCTCCATTGACCTGTGCAACGAGATGCAAGAAACAAGATTGAATCTGATGTATTTCTTTGCATTTTTGTCTGTTAATAAATGTCAGAGGAATGAATGATCTGCAGGTTTTGTTTTTTTACTTTTTACAACCCTGTAGTCCTCATTCGGGGTTGACTGGATGGAGCTATGAGTTTACTAGCCGGATTCCCTTCCTGACGCTTAAGTGGAGTTCACAGCAGATATTTTTTTCTTTGTGCCCAAGGAGGGAAACATCTGCCTCTACCTAGGATTGAACTCCCAACCTTCAAGAGATAGAAGGTGAACATCTTCATCACTAGGCCACCACACCACTCGAATGAATGAACTACAGATCGTCCTTGACAAATGACAACAATTGAGTCCACAATTTATGTTGCTAAGTGAGAAATTTGTTAAGTGAGTTTTGCCTTATTTTATGACCTTGGGGAATCAAGCCAGGATGGGTAAAACAAATCTCTGTTTATAACAGGGATGTGCTAGCTTCTGAAACATGTGTGTGGAGAGCTTTGCTTGAAAGAAAGCTTGCACAAAGCACCCATTTAGGACGTTTGGTGATACAGTGTGCTATTCTCCCCTCCCTCCCACGCACATGTGTCTAAAAGGGGAGGTGTTTTGGCATGTCACTTCGTTCCAGATTGTTCCAAGGACTCATCCAGCGTGCCAGGAGCCAGAAGAAGTCCCAGAAACACAAGAAACACAAGAGAGAGGTGGTCTACTGGGGAGGAGAGGGCCTTGATCCTCTTCATGGGCTGCAGCTGTGACAACTGGATAAGAGGATGGACATGCGTATGGGCAAGTGCTGGCAACAAAGCTTGGAAATATTTCTATTGTTCCTCTCTGAGTTTGGCATCCTTCCCAGTGTGTGTTCTGATATCTGTGGACATCTTCCAGCCCTTATCTTGCCTGGTTTATGTTGTGTTTTACGCTTTATAATTTAAACAGCGTTTCCTCCTTCTTGTAACTGCTTGGGTAGGAGTCTTTTGTCTCCAGGCAAGGATATTTGGAGCCTGGAAGCAAAGTGAAGGAATAAAAGGTGCTTCACCTGTTTTTTGTGACTGTGTTTATTTTGTATCCCACCCTGGGTCATCACAACACCCCTGGTCTAAGTGCTAGTGCTGTTGCTATTGGGTGTGGAAAGGACTCACCAAAATTTCCCCGGCCTTGCCTCTTTGAAAAACGACACTGTATTCAGAAACCTGGATCTTGACTTCTTCAATGCCAGTGAATCCAGCTGAGAGGACAACGGAGAACTTGTGCCTCTCGTCACTTTGGGCGAGGATGTAGGAGCAAAGAACCGGCAGCGAATATTGCACGCCATCAAAGGTGACATAATTCCAACCATCCAGCACATAGCAGGTGCCTGGTTCCCTGGGGAAACAAACTGAGACGTCATTCACCACTTTGCAGGCGTCCTCGTCGGAGCAGAAGTCGTGACACTGAACGGTTCCATCTTCCATGCATCGGCACTGTTTCCGGCAGAAAACGTTGGAGAAGAATTCCTCTCCTTTCTTGTAGTATATGCCCTCGAACTCACAGACGCATTCCTGGAGTGGTACGCACAGGTTCCCATTCAAGATGAAGCCCGGTCTACAGATGCAACCTTCGCCGCAAGGCGCCTTGCACGTAAGCGGAAGCTGTGGGTTTTCACAGGTAGCAGCACAGCGGGTCCCACAGAGTTCGTACTGAGAGTTCGCTGGGCAGTATTGAGCTAGTGAAGGAAAAATAAAGAGAGGATTAAGAAAAGTTCCAGAAAGGTTGAGCTGTCATGGTGTCCACAGCAGAACAGCAAGCTACTCTACAGGTAGTCCTCAACTTACAACCACAATTGAGGCCAAAATTCCTGCTGCGAAGCAAAAAAGGGAATTTTGCTCCATTGTACGACCTTTCTTACCACCAGGCTTGTTGTGGGAAAGATGCTGACATTGAAAAACGCTTAGAGAGGGATATAAAGCACTGCAAAGTGGTATATAAGTCTAAGTCAGGGGTGTCAAATTTGATTTCATTATGGACCACATAAGGGTTGCATCTGACCACGGAGGTTTGGCCAGAGTGGGCATGGCCAGCATGGCGTCACTCATGTCAGGGGGCACCTGTGGGGCCCTGGGCACTCTGCCAGCAAAAACAGGCTCCCGAGCTCCAATGGCAGCAACTGTGAAAGGGATCTTGGAGTCTTAGTGGACAACCAGCTAAATAGGAGCCAGCAGTGTGCAGCAGCAGCCAAAAAAGCCAATGCAATCCTAAGTTGTATTAACAGAGGGATACAATCAAGATCAAGGGAGGTACTAATACCTCTCTCAGTAAGACCACCCCTAGAGTTCTGCATCCAGTTTTGTTCACCTCATTATAAAAAAGATGTTGAGACTCTAGAAAGAGTACAGAGAAGAGCAACCAAGATGATGACGGGACTAGAGACTAAAACATACCAAGAATGGTTACAGGAACTGGGCTTGGCTAGTCTAGTGAAGAGAAGGACCAGGGGAGACATGATAGTGGTCTTCCAATATTTGAGGGGCTGCCACAGAGAGAAGAGGGGGTCAAGCTATTTTCTAAAGCACCCGAAGGCCAAACAAGGAATAATGGATGGAAACTGAACAAGGAGAGATTTAACCTGGAAATAAGGAGGAACTTTCTGACAGTGAGAACAATCAACCAATGGAACAGAAGTTGCCCTCAGAAGTTGTGGGAGCGCCATCACTTGAGACTTTCAAGAAGAGATTGGACTGCCATTTGTCAGAAATGGTGTAGGGTCTCCTGTTTGGGTGGGGGCTTGGACTAGATGACCTAGAAGGTCCCTTCCAACTCTGAATATCTGTTATCAGTCATTCAAGCAAATTACTATGCTTGTTAAATTGGTTACCATGGTTGTTAAGTGAAATGGGCTTCCCTATTGACGCTGCTTGTGAAAAGATTACAAAAGCAGATAAGATGAACCTGGGACACTGCAACCGTCATAAATATGAGTTGGTCACCAAGCGTCCAAATTTTGATCACGTGACCATGGGGGGAGGGGTGGCTGCAACAGTCATAAGTGGGAAAAACAGTCATGTTTTTTCAGTGCAGTTGTAACTTTGACCGGTCACTAAATGAGCTGTTACAAGTCGAGGATTACCTGTAATCATGGCTTAGATCCTTCTGATGTTATTCTAGTTTTGGTTCAGTTTCAAACGAGGCCACATGTTGTCGGGGACTACCTATATTAGATGAACCTAGGTTCTTCCAAGCAATGTCAACAGCAAAATTATAAATGGATTATGTACAGCAGATGCAGAGAAATGAGGTGGAAAGAAATATTCTTCATTTTGTGACAGGGAATTAAATGTGAAGTCTGGAAGCTACAGCCATAGGCAGCTCCTGGATCAACATTTAATCCAGCATAGATGAGGTGGTTAAATTGGAAAGAGAGAAGACTCTTCCATCAAGCATTGTAGGAGGGATTAATGTTGGCAGAAGATTAATTAATCATATTCCTTGCCACTATGAGATAGTTTTGTATTATAAGTCTCATAAATATGTTGAAAGAACAGGAAGATCACCTGCAGCTTTAGCTACTCCGCTTGCGGTTCACTGATGAACAGAAATATCGCAAAAATAATCTTTGGCACAACTGTAGTTATCATAACTGCTAGGTCACGTGATCAGGATATATAGCAGCCACAAGCCAATTCAGCTGAAATGCACCAGCTGCATTAACTATTGAATTTTCTCAAGGCACTTTAACTCAAAAGAGATAACTGTGAGAGGGATCTTGGAGTCCTAGTGGACAGTTACTTAAATATGAGCCAGCAGTCTGCAGAGGGATAGATCGCACAAACGGTTAGTACCACTTTATAATGATGTGATAAGATCATGCTTTGAATATTGCATCCACTTTTGGTCACCGTGATATAAAAAAAGATGTTGGGACTCTAGAAAAAGTGCAGAGAAGAGCAACAAAGATGAAAAGGGACTGGAGGCCAAAACATATGAAGAAAGGTTGCAGGAATTGGGTATGTCTAGTTTGATGAAAAGAAGGATTGGGGATGACATGATAGCAGTGTTCCAATATCTCAGCGGCTGCCACAAAGAAGAGGGGGTCAACCCAGTGGTGGTATTCTACCGGTTCAGCCAGGGGTGGGATTCAAATTTTTAACAACTGGTTCTGTGGGCGTGGCTTAGGTGGTGGACATGGCTTGGTGGTCATGTTATTGGTTGGGTGTGGCCAACTCAATATCATTCACATCGAGGCACGCATCTCCTTGCCTGGCCTCTCATGACTGTGGGGATGCTGCAACAGTCATAAGTGTGAAAAATGGTCATAAGTCACCTTTTTCAATGCCATTGTAACTTTGAATGGTCACTCCACACAAGCAAAGTACCAGCAAAGGAGGGGAAAAAAACTCCAGAGAAGTTCTTGAGACAGGAAGTCTAGTCCTGCCAAGAATGTAATTAGGGTTAACGGAGAGGCATTTTCTGTAAGCAACACCAGAATGTTTCCTTCCTGCCTTCCTTACAGGATTAGGCCAGTAATTTCTTCTAACAACCAGTTCTCCGAATTGCTTAGAATGTTAACAACCGGTTCTAGAGAATAGGTGCGAACCTGTAGAATCCCACCCCTGGGTTCAGCCCAGTTTGGACAAACCGGTAGTAAAAGAAATGCTACTGTTAGGCCAAACCAGTAGTAAAAAAAAAACACCTACTGGTTTGGCTGAACCGGTGATGATCAGCTGTTCCAATGATCAGCTGTGCCAGGATCCCCCTCGCTGTCTTACTGCTTTGCCCAGGAAGCAAACAGGGGCTAAGGGGGTTCTGCATGGGCCTCCCTTGCTCCATCTTTTGCCTCCTGGGCCTCAGGGAAGCCTCCTGGGAGCAAAAACAGGTTCCCAGGAATCTTCCCTGAGGCCCAGGAGGCAAAAAACAGAGCGTGGAGGCAGGGTGCTGCACCCAAAATAAAAGAAGAAGCCATGCTCACCCAGCCACAGGGCCACACCCACCTAGCCACTCCCACAGGACCGGTAGTAAAAATATTTGTATCCCACCCCTGGGTCAACCTATTCTCCAAAGCACTTGAGGGCAGGACAAGAAGCAATGGGTGGAAACTAATCAAGGAGAGAAGCAACCTGGAATTAAGGAGAAATTGGGTATATCTAATTTAATGAAAAGAAGGACTTGGGGGTGACAGGATAGTACTGTTCCAATATTTAAGGGGCTGCCACAAAGAAGAGGAAGTCAAGCTATTCTCCAAAGCACCTGAAGGCAGGACAAGAAGCAATGGGGGGAAACTAATCAAGGACAGAAGCAACCTAGAACTAAGGAGAAGTTTCCTTGACAGTGAGAACAATTAATCAGTGAAACGACTCACCTCCAGAAGTTGTGGGTGCTCTAATGCTGGATGTTTTTAAGAAGAGATTGGACAGCCACTTGTTTGAAATGGTATAAAGTCTCCTGCTTAAGCGTGGGCTGGACTAGAAGACCTCCAAGACATCTTCCAATTCTATTGTTCTGTTATCCAAGTGCTCTCTCTTTGACTCATCCCCTCTACCCCCAATCCTTCAATGTAGTAGCAATTGAGATCCTGTAGAGGGCGCACACAGCATTCTGCTGTGCCTAATACTTATATGGGCCTCTTTGCATGGTCTCACTCCCTGTCTCAGGTTGGTAAGTTCCGTACCTGGTAGAGTGATCTCACCTTACTAACATCACCACTATTCTTAAGGATTGGGAGGGGATTCAACTATCCTGATGCTACTACATCTATGTTGCCTTTTGCTACTTGTAGAAAACTATATAAAAAGGAATAAACACTACGCGAGTAGTCAGACATCTTGGCACCCTGCATAACGACTGGTCTTTGAAATCTATCACTTCAAGTTCAAACTTACGGCAGAAGCTATCCGTCCTCCAGTTCTGTAAAGGGATACTTCTGGCCTGACAGGCTGCTACGTAAGTGGCAATAACATCACACCAAACATTCTTCTGTCCCCGAAGTTCACAGGTCTTTCTGATACACTCATCAAAGAAAGGTGCAACTGGAATGGTCTCATAGCAAGAAGCGAAGGGACCGTTTGGCCGGTTCAACAACCCACAGAATGAATCTTGTTGATAGCTTTCTAGTTCAGTGGATGAGCAGGGAGGGCACTTCGGGGAACAGCTCGGAGAGCATCCTACAAACCAGTTTTCCCCATATTCTTGCATCGTCTCATCAGCCAAGTTTCCATTGGCGTTTCCACACAGTCCACACAGATGTCCTGCAAAGCTTGAGGGCACGGTTGTTTCAATGTTGAGATTTTCCTTGAAGAGTTTGACCACCAGGCCAAACTGTGTGTCAATGACAAATTGGTGCCCGTCAGAATGAACCTTAATTTTCTCCTCATAGTTGAATGGCAGATTTACTGGCTCGCCATCCACCTGAATAAAAGAGAGTATTTAGTTTTTTTCCTTTTCCAATTAAACTGAACCAGACCCCCCAAATTCCCAGCTCTTTTTAGTGCTGGAGAAAAGAAATGTTTGGAAATAGAATCTAAACAAAGGTAGGTATTTTGGGAAGCAGGAGAAACAGGTATTTGAAAGCTGACCTTTTAAGATTTTCTGCTTTCCCCATAATGAATGCACTTTAACTAATCAATGTAGTTCAGTAACAAATTCACCATAAATTACACAGGTTGAAAAAAACCAGCCTTTCTTGCTGCAGAACCAGAACACTTTTAAACTTAAGATTGCATATATTTCTAAACAACACTAAAACGCCCTCTGCCATTAAATATGGGTAGATACGTAATTGCCTGAAGATCACACGTGCCTCTGCAGATTAAGTATTGTAGTCCCCAGTGGGCCCATTTGGATCGTATTGCTGAAATTCAATACTGTAAAATAGTAATATTCAGCAGCATAATATGTGACCCATTTTTAAAGAATGAAAACCCCAAATAAGCATGTTAATATTCTGGGTGGATCAATAAACCACTTTTCTGTTATTAAAAAAAAAAAAACTACACTCAAACCACCATTAAAAAAAAATCAGCTGTGCCTATTGGGGGAACTCATATTATAACCATGCTATTCAAACCCACCCCCCCAAAAATCAAATAATGGTGGTGGTACTACTACTACTACTACTACTACTACTACTACTATTGTTGTTGTTGTTGTTGTTATTGCAGCACTACTACTACTGCAAAATTTGTAAAAACCTGACAAGGGCAGTAAATGTTCTGTTTAATTATTATGTAAATTTTTACCCTGGCGTTGTTTGGTATCGAAGGTCTACTGAATTAACCATTTTTCCTAGATCTACACCAGGGGTGTCAAACTCAAAGCCTGTGGGACAGATCCAGCCTGTGGAGTGCTTATATCTGACCCACGGAGCCACCCTGGAAACAGCGCAAGCTCCGTTTTCACTGCAATGGCCTCCTGAAACTCCCTGCCAGAGAAAACGGAGCTTGGGAGGGCCACGTTTGGCCCTCCCGAGCTCCATTTTTGGCTGCAACGGCCTCCTGAAACTCTCGGCCGGAGAAAACGGAGCTCAGGAGGACCTCCCGAGTTCCATTTTTGCTGGAAGAGTGCTTGAGCTACTACAGGCACCCCCCCAACATGAGTGACATTGAGCTGGCCATGCCCACCCCACTCCCCTGAGGTCAAACACAACCCTGATGTGACCCTCAATGAAATCAAGTTTGACACCCCTGATCTACACCATATGTTGATCAGAAATTAATCCGATGGTCTGGTTTAACAGAAAACCAGAAAAGAAACACTATCCAAGGTTGAAAGAAACCTATATTAGCTTGCCATGCAAATGCAACAGTTAGATCTTAAACTGACTTGTTTCAACCTATTGAGTAAAGAGAGCTTACCTGCACCTGGTCGGTACGGACAACAATGCTCTTTCCGTACACTTTTAATATAACTGCACGGCCTTCAGGAGCTACGTTGTTCTGAGCCGAGAGGTCAAATGGTATGAGATCAGGCCTGGGAAGGCAGACTTTAGACAGTTGGTAAATGCAGCGGCCCTCAAACCTATAGCCATAACCATCAAAGGTGGTGTACTGGTAGTTTCCTGCAGAGATACAGGTGGAGGCACTAGAGTAGCACCCTTGGACTCCGTTGACTTGTTTGCACTGCTCCCCAGTTTGACAAGCAGCTAGGGAACACACCACGGCCCCAAACCTGGAATCACATTTGCAGCGCAATGTGCAGTCCTTGTTCCAGAATTCCTCTTCGGGTTTATAGTAGACGCCTTTGTGCGTGCAACCACAGCTTTCAATGGGCACACATTTGTCGACGCTAAGGATGTAGCCGTCGTTACACTGGCAGGTTTCCACACATTCCAATGTGCAAGGCGTGTTGCGGGAGGAACATGTGGCTGGACACCTACTTCCACACTGCACATAGTGGCTATTTTCAGGACAAGGGAGAGCTGTGAAAGGAAATAACTGTTAAGTAGCCATAGCAATAGCGCTTAGACTTATATACCACTTCACAGTGCTTTACAGCCCTCTCTAAGCAGTTTACAGGGTCAGCCTATGGCCCCCAACAATCTGGCTCCTCATTTGACCCACCTGGGAAGGACGAAAGGCTGAGTCAACCTTGAGTCTGGTGAAATTTGAACTGCCAAATTACAGGCAGCCGGCAGTCAGCAACAGTAGCCTGCAGTACCGAACTCTAACTACTGGGCCACCACAGTTCAGAGTAACTATGATTTCCCTATTCTCTAAACTCCATGTAAGCAACATTTTATACATTTTCCATACTTTGGGGCAGTTATTTTCATGAGCCTTTATGCTCTTCTACATTGATCCATACCCATCTATGCCCCTAAAATCTGGGATTTCCTACTTTCCAACGATTGCTCTCATCATCCCTGTTAAGATCTCTTATTTAAGAAAATGCCTTGACTTACAACAGATCATTTAGTGACCGTTCAAAGTTTCAGTGGCACTGGGGGAAAAAGTGACTTATGATTGCTTTTTCACATGACCATTGCAGCATCCGTATGATCAAAATTCAGACACTTTGCAACTGACTCAGACTTATGAAGGTTGCTGTGTCCCAGGGTCATGCAACCATCTGACAAGCAAAATCAAGGCAGAAGTCAGATTCACTTAACAATTGCAGTGATTCGCTTAACAACTGGGGCAAAAAGGGGCAAAACTCACCTAACAAATGTCTCACTTAATAACAGGGCTCAGTTGTCATCGTAAGTCAAGGACTACCCATATTTCTTCTACAAGTAGAACAAAATTTGCTTAACTATGTTGTCCATTTGTCTGGAATGGTATAGGGTTTCCTGCTTGAGCAAGGGTTGGACTAGAAGACCTCCAAGCTCCCTTCCAACCAGAGGTGGTATTCAGCAGGTTCTGACCAGCTCTGGAGAACCGGTAGCGGACATTTTGAGTAGTTCAGAGAACTGGCAAATCCCACCTCTGACTGGCCCCGCCCCCATCTATTCTCCTCCTCCTGAGTCCCAGATGATTGGCTGGGTCTTCTTTGGTTGCCCTGCACAGGAGAACGGAGCTGGAAAGCAGGTTAGTGGGGTGCGGAGGGAAAGGGGATTTTGCAGTATCCTTCCCCTGCCACGCCCACCAAGCCACACACACCAAGCCACGCCCACAGAACCAGTAGTAAAAGTTTTTGAATCCCACCTTTGCTTCCAACTCTTCTGTTACTCACTGAACTCGATTATATATTTTTTAATTTACTTTTGTTTTTTGCTCCTCGCTTACGTCATGTTGTTCTTGCGCTAGCTTTAATTGTTAGTAGGGATATTAGACATCAAGCTAGGACACTGTTGGGTAGACCCAACGTTCAACACTTACGGCAATTGATGGGGGTTCTCCAGTCACCAACTCGGACTCCTTTCGTACGGCAAGCTTCAGCATAAGAGTTCACAGCTTGGCACAGGATGCCATGGTCTCCTCCGTTCATACAAACATCCAAAGCACAGTTGTCTAGGATAATGCTGGGATCCAGAACAGCATGGCAATCCTGGAAGGGTCCATTTGAGACAGAGACTATCCCACAATACCCGTCGGTTTTGTATTTGGCCAGCTGTTGTTGATCACAGGTAGGGCATTTTCCGCTGCACTCATGGAAACAAAGGGGATCCCCATCTTCCACTTTCCAGGAAGTAGCCCAGGTGACCACACTGGGCATCAGGAAATCCTCTGGGCTTCTCAACTCATCCCCTGGCAGCTGATTGAAGTTACCGCAAAGTCCCCCGGTGTTTCCATAATAGCTGCTAGACAGGTGGGCGTCTACTTTCCAGTTCCAGTCATAGGTCAACAGTAGACCAAAGTCGCTCTGCAGGTTGGCAAAGTTGCCACTGGAGAAGATCCGGATTTTACCTCCCAGAAGAGTTATGGGAAGGTTGAAGGTCACACCATTAACCTGTGTCAGGGGGGTTAGAAAAGAAATTTGCAAGTAAGTGTGCTTTTAGGAAGCAGGAAGGGGAGAGGCAAACCAGTTTGAGTTGGATGTTGGATTTCCCAGTCGGCAAAGTAAGAATAAGACAGACTGCAAGAAAGACACAGCACTCAATTACCTCATGAAAAGCATTATAGTCCTTGACTTAAAGCCAGAATTAAGCCCAAAATTTCTGTTGCTAAGGGAGACCAGTTGTTAAGTGAATTCTGCTCCACTTTGTGACCTTCCTTGCCATGGTTGCTCAGCGAATCACTGCAACTGTTCATTTAATAACTCAATTGTTAAGTGAATCTGGCTTCCCCACTGACTTTGCCTGTCGCAAAATGGTCGCAAAATGGGATTGCATGACTCTGGGACACTTGCAACCGTCATAAATATGAATCAGTTGCCAAGCATCACATGACCATGGGGATGCTGCAACGGTCATAAGTCATTTTTTTCCAGTGCCATTGTAACTTTAAATGGTTACTAAATGAACTATTGTAAGTCAAGGACTTCCTGTAGTTAAAAACGACAATTAAGACGTTGGAAACATTTTCCTCCCAGTGGTGGGATGCTGCCAGTTCAGACCGATTCTATCGTACTGGTAGTTCCAACAATCAGCTGGCCCCACCCCTGCCTTATCCTGTCCTATATTTCCACGATTTTCAGCTCAGCTGATTCGCACAGCACCGTGGATTCCCGTGGCTCAGCTGTTTTACTTACTGGGGCTGCCCTAGAAGGTAAGCTGTTTTGGGTCTTGAAATTGGTGTGATTTAAATGCTGCACGCTCTCATAGAACTGGTGGTGGGATTCAATATTTTTTTTACTACCGGTTCAATGGGTGTGGTTTGATGAGTGTGGCTTGGTGAGCGTGGCAGGGGAAGGATACTGCAAAATCTCCGTTCCCACTGTCATGCCCCTGTCGGAGTCTGAATCCGAGGAGGAAGACAAACAGCTGATTTGGGGGGGGGGGGGGGGGAATGTGGTTCCGTTGGCTGTGGAGGAAACTGGGGAAGGGCTAAGTCTGGCTGGGCAGAGCAGGGAAGAGGTAGAACAAGGGAGTGGGAGTTCAGAGGAAGATCTAGGCCCACCCCCTCTTCATCCTAGGGCATGCAGGGAGGAACAGAGCAGAAAGCAACGTGGGTTGCGTGGCTTACGGGGGAGGAAAGGGCCCTGATTTCCTTCATTAGCCACAGATGGGAGTGAGAGTTTAAAAGGGATGCAAGCTGAATGTGGTGTCTGCTGGGAACAAACGTGAGTTTTATCTTATGTCGACTTTGGTTATCTGCGTTCCTGACATCCTCCCAAACGGCTTGAATTACTACCGAATGGAATTCCTTCTCTTGCCCTGCTGGACCAATTACCTCATTTTGCCTTGATTGGACTTATAGTTATACTTTTTCTTGACCACATTTTGGACTTGATTCTCTGCAGCCAAAGGCTGTTCCTGGGAGAGTTTTTCTCCAGCCAGAAGGTAACCAGGACATTGGAGGCAAAGTTGGAGCTAATAAAGGGACTCCTACGGATTATCTGACTGTGTTGCCTTTGTGCCACGCCCCAGGTCATCACACCCACCCCACTCCAGGGGGAAGGTTACCACCGGTTCTCCGAACAATTCAAAATTTCCACTACCGGTTCTCCAGAACTGGTCAGAACCTGCTGAATCCCACCTCTGAATCCCACCACTCTATCCTTCTATCAATTTGATTGGGTGGCTAAAAGATGGATAGCTATGTGAATCTTTTAAAGAAATAAGATAGGGATGGAAGTACAAAGTGAACGTTCAAAATAGCGATAGATAAAAAAAAAAAAATTGCTCTTACCCGGACTCTGCCATTTTCTTGTTTATGGATGCTGATGACTTGCTCATACACACGTAAGGTAACAAGTTTGACATAGGAGACCGCTTTGTTGTCCCCTCGGTTTTCGTTCTTTACCACCACGGAGAAGGGTACAAGGCTTTGATCAACGCCCGTCGACTGAACGAGCACATAGGAACAAGTGCCTTGGAAATCATAGCTGTAGCCATCAAAGGTATGACAATGGGGGTCCCCCCAGCACCAACAGTGCCCTGTATAATCCGGGACGCAAACAGCCTGTCCATCCTTAACCTGACATGTCTCCTTGGGACGGCAAAGCTTAACTTTGCAAGGATCTGCGGGGAAAACAGAAAGGCAGAAGATAGAATCACGGAATCATGGAAGGGTCTTCTACTATTCCAACCTCTTGCTCAAGATACGAGACCTTATTTCATCCCAGTCAAATGGTTCTCCAGTCTATTTTTGAAAACTTCCAGTGATTGAGTACCTACAACTCAGGTAGGCAAACTATTCCACTAACGCATTGTTCTCGCTGTCGGAAAAATTCTCCTTCCTTCTAGGTTGGATAATAATAAGAAGCTTCCACATTTTACTTCTGGTGCTTTGGAGAATATGTCCATCCCTTCTTCTCAGCCCTTCAAGTACTGGAAGAGAGCTATCGTGTCCTATTCACACACACACACACACACACACACACACACACACACACACACCGCAATTTTTCTCTCTGATAGGCTACAGAAAGTAAAAACTAAGTCTAGAAAAGGATCAGTATAAGAGCCACAGTGGTGCAGTGGTTAGAATGCAGTATTGCAGGCTATCTCTGCTCACCTTGCCAGAAATTTGATTCCCTTCAATCCTGATCAGCTCAAGCTTGACGCAGCCTTCTATCCTTCCAAGATCAGTAAACGAGGAGCCAGATTGTTGGGGGCAAGAGGCTGACTCTGTAAACCGCTTAGAGAGGGCTGTAAAGCACCGTGAAGCGGTATATAAGTCTAAGTGCTGTCGCTATTGCTATCGGTATGTCTTGAAATGTACACCTCTGCAGCTGACACAACATGCTTAATCTGCTTTCACAAGTAACCCATTTTCTAGGTTATATTGAAGCATAAACTAGCCTGGGTCCAAATAATCAGGGCCTGCACCCCATGTGAAACCACACACACACACACACACACACACAAATCTACCACGCATTAAAACTGTCAGGTTCCAAGTAATGCAATCATTATAAAATGCACTCAGATGCATTGTACTTCCCCAAAGAACTATTTTATTTAATTACCCCATCTTGGTACTAACTGGTGGAAAGCCAGTACTGAAAGTTTCCCAGCTTTCCACATCACTATGACTAGAATTTTCTCATTTTTCGAAAACAATATGTCACATTTGTCCAATCAGGATATGAAATAGTTTCCTGTCGACTTTCTTCCTCCTTCCTCTGGCTGAGCAGCCATTGGAATGCAGCTGATTCACCGCCCAGCTATATTGTTTTGGCTGGAGCTCCGTCCATCTCAGTTCCCCCCACTTCCAGTTTTCAAGTGTGTCAAACTGAATTCACCACCAAACTAAATTGAGGCTGGACACTAACCAGGTTTAGCATGTTGAGCTATACCTATAGACATTATGTTAGTTAGTGACTTGGCTAATAAGCACATTGAACAAATACATGCTAAGTAGATGTTGTGTTAGACCTATGGATAAAATCTTCACATAAATCTTCACTATAAATGCTCAGAAAGGCATTCTGAGAAATAGAAAGAATTAAAGTCTCTCCCGTAGCAGTTACTGAAATTGAAATGCATGCATTTCACGCAACACTGCATTCAGTTTCAGTCTATACCCACAGGATCATTGCCTGAACCACTGGTTACTCCCAAGACATCCTGATGGATGTAAAATCATATCTTTCTTTCCTCATCCATCAAGGGCTCAACAGTGAGGTGGTATCACCCCTTACCTATGTTCTGGCACTGCATAACTCCATCTTTTGTCACACAGTCTTCACTGGCGGCACAAGCGTGGTCTTCACAGAAGAATCCTTCTGGAGTGCAGACACATTTCTCCTTGCAATTATTTTGCAAGGTGGGCACATTAGGCTGAGCATTGGGGAAAAACAACCACAGGTAAGAGAAAAGGATCCAAAACCACACACACACAAAAAAACCCCAATTGCATTGGGAGAAAGTTATCTGCAGCGAGGCAAACCTCATTCAGGAGGAGCTAGGTTCACGTACTTCTGCAATACTTCCACCAGCTTTGTGGAAGAAGCAACACTTATTTAGAAACTGCTCCACAGCAACCTGGAAGGTTCCTAAAGTAGCAGGTCCTCATTGGTTCCTGGAAATGCTGTTTGCCCTGAAGCTGCAGTTCCTTAATGGGTTGAGGGAGAGGAATGGAATCCCAGATCATCTGAGATACGTATTAAGAATCCATAAGAGGGATGGGATTAGAACAGAGAATAACTGAGCTGGAAGTTTAACCCTCTTCCCTAGCAGGAGATCCTAGACCACTTCAGACCGAAGTGGCTGTCCAGTCTCTTCTTAAAAGCCTCTAGATTGGATTGGATCTAAGCAATTAGAGCCACTTGTCTCATGGGTTTTTTAATGAAATGTTATCATACAGTTTTCCCTTCCACTACATTAATTTACAATGGAGCCATTCATAAAAGGACAACAATCCCCTGAAGACACCTTGAATGGTTTGCTTTTGCTGTGAAGTTCTTCTGTACCATCTAAAACAACTTACCAGCTCCTGGTTTAATTCATCCATAGGACCATCACACAGCGAGCGACAAACATCAAGAGATTAATAAAACAGGGAACAGGAACGGACTAATTAAGGAGTACAGTAATTCTCCTGTAAGATTGAGCTGCACTTAACAGGAAGCTGTAATAAGTAGTTACCAAACGAAATTAGCTTCTGATTACAACCACGGTAACAGTCTACCAAAGATAGGCTACCACTGCATCAAATTGGGAAGGTGGGAGGGAAACCTCCAAAAATTGGACTAAAAAAAGAAGAAGACACAAGGCCTACAATGAATTAATGATGTCATCTTGATTCCCGCTGAAAAGCAAGTAACCAGCAAGATAATGCTAGACTAAATGTCTAATACAGACGTGATTTTTCACAGGTCCCTCAGAGAAACAAACGAAGGTCCAATATTTCCTTCCTTTTCAACCTACCGGATAGTATACGTTGTTTTCAAAGCAGCCACACTCATCCAAGGGGATGCATTTGAGGCCGTCTGAGAAGAAGCCATCATCACACTGACAACCTTCAACACAGGTCTCCGGACACGGAAGGTGATCCGTAAGCCCAGCACAGGTGACTTCACAGATATTAGAACAGGTGGTGTAATGGCTATTGGCTGGACAGGTTATTGCTGAAGAAGAAGAGACAAGAGGAACCAATCAGCTGAAGGAACGTCCTTCAACCTTGGCAACTTTAAGCTGCACGAACCTTCGATTTCCAGAATTCTCCAGCAGGCAGGAGTTGTCAGACTGCAATAACCAGTAGGTGTCAACCATTAACATTGTCTGTATTTTCTTACAACCATCTAGTGAGGGGTCCTTGGTGCTCTCTGAGCTTCCTTGTTTTCTGGCAGACATTTCACTGCCTAATTAGGTAACACATCAGTGCTTGCAAGGAGTTTATATCAGTTTATATTCTGGTGACTTGCCTGTCTGTGTGGATGGGGGCAGTGTTAGGGTTTCTTTGGTTGGGCTGTTTACTAATTGGCTCTTTGACAGTTTCTTGATTTGGGGTATTGCTTACTTGATTGTTGGTCTGAATTTAAGCTTGGAGTTAATCTATGCTGATCTGGGTGCTGATTACAGGTGAAGAGGTGCTGGGGTCTTTTTCTCTTTTGGGCTGGTTGACTTCAACTCCCAGAATTCCCCAGCAACCAAGCTGGATTTCTGGGCCAGGTTAGAGCTTAGGGCACTAATTTCCCTGCCTCTTACTAGTGGCTGACTTGGGAATAGCAGCAGAAGAAGAGTCAATAGCAATGGCCATGTCCTTTTTCTCATTGGCTCTTTTCTTGCTGTTCTGATACTATAACTCCGACTGGGCCATAAGCTTAGGCTACCATGTCTTGAAAGAAAAAGATGAGCACTCTGACATGTCAGCCAAGAGATAGGTGTGGCCTGTCAGCCGCTGGCCCCTCCAGCAGCTGAATTGAAGGAGGAGGAGGAGGAGGAGGAGGTGGCATGGGAGCCAGGGTCAGCATCAAGGCAACCTGAGAGCTCCAAGGGGAAAGAGGGAATAGAGCTGGCAGAGAGAGAGAGAGAGAGAGAGAGACAGAGGCAGAACCTGGGGTGTCCATCAACCCTCAGATGAAGAGTCAACAGCCCCCAGGTTTGGAGTTGGCTGATGAGGAAGAGGAGGAACAGCCGTGTCCAGTGCCTGATGTGTGGATGCGCAGAAGGCAGAGGAGAGGAGAGCAGTGGAAATCTATGGGCCGGTCCTTGGGACAGAAGAGCCACTGCTGCTAGTGAAGCCCCTCCCTAGCTCTGGGGATAAAAGGCAGGGGGCGGAGATGAGTAGGTGGGGCAAACAATTATTCATCTCCTGGCCGGCTGGACTTGTTAGCCTGCATTGAGAGAGAAATTTTTTGCCGGGGCTACTGGCACTCCTAATTAAAGGAATCTTTGAGTTCACTTTGTCGTGTTTGGGTAGCTGGGTCAGAACAACAGAGAAAACTCTCTTTGCTACCATCTAGTGGTAACTTGGATGCTTGCAAGTCAATATATAGCAATGCTACCAGTTCAATCAGGTTCATTGAAGGCATAGGAGTAAACAGACGGTGGTTCTTGGTGGGACGGCCCCATGCTGGAGACTCCAAGTTAGTCTCCTTCTTTGCCTTCTCTACATTCACCCCAAGGATTATTGCAGAGGTAACAGACAGCAATCTTTCCTATTTGGGAATGCAAGGTGTGATAGTAGCCAAAGCAACAAACCCCCTTGGGCCATGGCCAGATGAAGAGGAAGGGATGTTTAAGTGCTGATTACCTTCCAATTATCTACTTAATTCTCTTTCTCTCTTTAGGGGTTCTTAATTAAGGCTGCGTGAAGCATCCGAGATTCTATTTATAGGCAATGTGGTCAAATCATCATCTGAGCTAACAATTGAATACAGCAAATAAAATTAGGCACCTTTGAAGATCTGGTGGACTTTTATCTATGTGCGCTTGTACTCTGATCAGATCAACTCTTCAGACTGCACTGGCTCTTTAATTTTGCACCAACCTTTGGAACCAAATCACAGAATCCTAGCTAGGATTCACACAGCCCCTCAGTCTTTCTAGTACGGACATTCCCAGAGGGGGTAGTCAGCAGGTTCTGATCGGTTCTGGAGAACTGGTAGTGGAAACTTTGAGTAGTTTGGAATACCAACTGTGACTGGCCCCACCCCTATCTATTCGCTGCCTCCCAAGTCCCAGCTGATTGGCTGGATCTTCTTTGTTTGCCCTGCACAGGAGTATGGAGCTGGAAAGCAGGTTAGTGGGGTGGGGAGGGAATGGGGATTTTACAGTATCCTTCCCCTGCCATGCCCACTAAGCCACGCCCACCAAGCCACGCCATGCCCACCAAGCCACGGCCATAGAGCTGGTAGTAAAAAAATTTTGAATCCCACCACTGGACATCCTCCTTTTCAACCTACAGTCCAATTAGTAATGTTTCTTGATTGCTACTCACGACAGAATTCTGGGCTCCTCCAAGGCTGGATGGTGACCTTGGCTCCTTGGCAGGCTGCCACATAGCTCTGGATGCTATGACATAAGATTTGTCTGTCCCCACCGCCAATGCACAAATCGAGGACGCAATGGTTTAGATAGGCCGTGGGATCTACAACCCCATGGCACGAGCTGAAAGGCCCATCGGTGGCTGTAAGGATCCCACAGAATGAGCGTTGCTTAAAAAACTCTTCCTTCGCCTCCGTGCAAATCGGGCAATTCTCCCCAAAGCACCCATCTGTGCAGGAGATGCCAGGGGTCTGGATTTTCCAGGCAGCAGTGAACACAGCCACATCGGAGACCACTGTGCCATCTGGTAGCTGAAGATCGTCTTGCGGCTGTCCGTTGTAGTTGCCACATAAGCCACCCAGCTGATCCTTGTAGTTGTTGGGAACAGTGATTCTCACGTTGTAGGAGAGGTCAAAGATCACCGTAACACCAAAGAAAGCCTCGATCACCTGATAAAAGCCATGCTGATAGATTCGAAGCTTGCCATCCAAAAGGTTTACGGGGAGGCGACGGAGTACGCCATTTACCTGCCAGAATAAAATTATATCTTTGTGA